CTAAAAATTTGCTTACCTCATACCTCGTCTTGCCATATTTTAGCTGGCTTTTTATACCCTGAACCCATTGAAAATGGGAAATCAGGGTATAATGGTTTTGTTGAAATGTATGTAACAGGCAGAAGGAGGCGAAAATTGATTGAAATAGCTAACACTCCAAGGGTTCAGGGGATCTCGTAGTCGAGCAGTCTCGACTAGAGCTTTCTTACTTGTTTTTTTTTTGCATTCTTTCTGCATGTCTTTGTCTCTTTTTTTTTTGTGGAAATTTAATTTCGCTTGATTTATGCACTTTATGAGCAGGTGGAGGAATCTGCTTTATATGCAAACAATCCTTGGCCATCGTCGCGATGTGAACGTTAACTTACCTAACTTTTACGTGTTGGCTTTGTGTTTGCATTTTGCATTTTGCGGCCGCCGTTGCGGTCGCAGTGTGCATCTATTTTTTATTTTTTTGCTGCCTCCTTTTGTATTTGCTTGCTGGCTTCTATTTGCTTTTACGCCTCCTGCTGCATTTTGTGGCCCGTGCGGGCTTCCGGTCATTACACAGGCTTTGCCGCGCCCATGCCTATGCAATTTTATTATTATGATTTTTATCTCAACGTGTTCTTTTTATTTTTTGTCTAATTTCTCTGTATATTTTTGGTTACTGCATTGTTGTTGTTGCGTCCCACGAACCCTAAAATGCGCTCCTTGCCTTTACCATTGCCAATTGCATAGGGACGGAAGGTAAGTTGCGGTCGTTGAGGTCCGGCCGGGGCTCAAATACTACCACGAATCCAAGCAAAATGCTAGAGAAAGTTTTATTACTTTTCTTGGTAGCCTGGCAAATAATTTAATTTCGCTTATAGTGCAGCAGCATTTCAGCTAAGGGGAAGTGGAATGAACAAATACAAAATAAAATAAAAATAAAAATAGCAAGACAAAATAAAAAAAATAAATAAAAATAAAAAAAAGTGGAAGAATATCTAAGTACAAAACGGGACAGAAATAATATTGTCGTATTGCAAGATGAGAAATAAATGTTTTAGCCATCAGAGCAAGCAGCCCAAAGACCAACCAACCGCCCGCCCRCCCGCCGCACACTCGTGGCATATTAATGCTGTTCAGCAGCTTTAGATTTTTACATTGTGCAGCTCAAATTGATATTGATTTTGTATTCTGTGCTGGCATTTCCTCTTCCACAGCTCTGGCGGCATCCTTGGCGACGTTCCTATCACAAACGAAAGAAGGCTCAGTGGGAGACAGATGCCAATTATTGTGCTCTGGTAAGTAAACGAGTCGCCCAGTTGGCTACTTACTGGATGGGAAAACGAACGGAGGGATGTGGGGAAGGCGGTCGCCTCTTGCTTTACCCCAATTTTGTGTGCCATTTTCATTTCCACTTCCGGTTGTGCCCGGCTATGCTTTGTCTGTAGCTTTTCCTGCTGCGGTTATTTTTACTTAATTTGCATTTTAGCTGGAGTGGAATGCAAATGTTTTTATTTGTTACTCTCGCTCGAGCTGCGCTCAGCTCTGTTCGCAATCGTCCCCGACTTAATTAAGACTCCTCCGGCCAGCCCTAATATGCCGTTGCTTAGTTCTGTTTCTAACAGATATTTTGATTTTTGTCAAAGGTACGCGACATACCGCCCTACGATGAGGGACGACGTCTGCTGGATCTTATGGACATGGCTGTCTTTGACTTTCTCACTGGGAACATGGATCGGCATCATTACGAGACCTTCAAGTGAGTATAAAGTGCGGACTGTGGAGTGTGGAGTATGGAGTGTGGGCGATTTTGGCCAGAGACATAATGCGATTGGCTTATTTCCGCATAACTGGCGTTGTTGGCTTCATGCCTACCGCCGTGTGGGTAGCGCATTACATATACGTATCCCATACGCTTCACTGCATCTGGGGCTGCTGCTGTCTCTATATTTGGCAAGGCTGCCGCACAGCATGCTCAACGGCAGGAGCCAATGCCTCGGAAAGATATTTGCATGCATGCTGCAAAAAGCAGCTAAATCTGACTGGCTGCTCAAGACAGCAAGTGGCAGTCGGCAGAGGGCGGACAGCAGACGACAGACGTGGCAAAGGCAACAGACTGCATCATCATGCATGCCAATGGCACACCAGGTGCCCTGCCCTGCAACAGTGTTTGCTATGCAGAGCAGCTTTAGCCGTAGCCGTTGCAGTTGCCGTTGCTGTTGCCATTGCCATTGTCGTTGGCCGGTTACACCCGACTGCGTTGCGTCGGAGCTAAGCCGATCTCTGGTGTTTGTCTCTAATCACATTTGCTGGCAATTATGCATATGCAATGCTAAACACGGGGCGTATGTGCAATTTGACAACAATTCTTGCTTTGCATTTCTTTGCAGGATCTATGGCAACGAGACGTTCCCCCTGCATTTGGACCACGGACGTGGCTTCGGGCGTCCCTATCACGATGAGCTCTCCATTCTGGCGCCCGTCCTGCAGTGCTGCCTGATACGCAAGACGACGCTCACCAAGCTGATAGAGTGAGTAGACACATTGACAGAGTGAACTGGGAGCATTTGGTTATTCGGTCTCATCTACAGATTCCACAATGGGCCCAAGCCGCTGTCGCAGATTTTGAGCGAGTCACTCAGCGTCGATCCCATCAGTCCGGTGCTCTGGCAGCCCCATCTGGACGCGCTCGATCGCCGGGTCGGCGTCATTCTGCAAAGTATACGGGACTGCATCAAGCGAAATCCGCCCGGCGAGCTCGACGGCTCCGATGCGGACGTATCGTCATAGCGCTAAGCCTCCCAAACTGAGTTAGAGTCTAAACTTAGCTATAAGTTTGCGTGTCTTGTGTACTGTCTAGACGTAAGAGTAGAAATCGAGGCGGGGCACCTTTGTAAAAGGTCGCCTTGTCACACGATATCCTTGCAGCTCTGTCTGCACATACCAAAAAAAAAAAAAAAAAAAAAAAAAAAAAAAAAAAAAAAAAAAAAAAAAAAAAAAAAAAAAAAAAAAAAAAAAAAAAAAAAAAAAAAAAAAGAGAAAACAAGAAAAGGAAAACCAAACAAATTAATGTACGAAACTTCTTGTGCATTTCTTTGGTTCATTTTGTTTGCATGTATGTATGTATATAATCGAGTTGGCCAGTTGATTGACTCGAATTTCGGTTATGTGGTCGAATCTTAAATGAAGTACCTTCAGCACATTGCACACACACATACACATACACACGCATAACTCATACCACACACACGCGCACAGAAACTTCCCGAGCAGCTAAACCACAAATTAACTACAAATTACAGCCACAGTAGGTGCCAAAAGCAAATCAACGCGTATACATGAACACATGTACTTGAACTTAAATTGATTCTAAGAGCAAAACTAAATTATACATACATTGCGCTAGAGTGAAACTTCTTGAAAAGACTATAACATATAACTAATTTCTAAATATTTATTTTTAATTATTTTCGTACATTTTACAACATGTATATTTATGTATGTACATTTTTGCAAGGCGGGAAAAGAGAGAGAGTGAGAGAGAGAAGAAAAAAAGCTTAAAAAAAATAAGAAGGAGAAGAAGAAATATTTGTTATAGTTTAGTTGGTAAGATAAGAATTACAATAATACGATCGACGATATCAGACGTAGCTTTATCCGTATGCCTAACAATGTTCCCGTACCTCCGAAGCGAGGACATGTTGTGTTTTATATATAGCTTATCTTATTAGTTAGTCGAATTAGTTTCAGCAGCATGAAAAGATGTCCTTCGAGCGTTGACTCGACCATATACAAATAGTTAATTTCATTTGTTTTTAATGTTTAACCGTTTAAATCGTACCTAATATAGTTGAAACGTGACGCAGTTTGTTGTTGGCCAATTAAGATGAGCGATAAAGAAACTAAACTAGAAACAAACCATGTTAGAATTAGTAAAAATTTAGTGAAAATTTCTGAAATATTGAATAAAAAATACCAAAGAAATAAACTGTTTGTTTTGAATTATTGTAAATAATATGTAAAAGAAAATAAAATAAATTTTATA